ATTGGTAATATTTGTGCATATTAATCACCTAATTTGCATAATTAACCAACTTTCACACTGATATGTCAGGTACTAAACATCTCATATCAATGTTTATACATGGATGCCGTAGGACAATAGACAGACCTGGATAATTGTGGGTTAAAATCTGTACATATTAATTACCTAATTTGCATAATTAACCAATTTTAAGCTTTCACACTGATATCTAAAGTACTAATTATTCCATTTCAATGAAACTTAGTACAAAGATGCTCTAGGACAATGTACAAACCTAATTAGTGTGGGGTAAAAATCTGTTCATATTAATTCCCTAATAAGCATAATAATTCATAATTTTTTGGTTCTAATCACATTTCAATTAAACTTGGAAACAGATTTTCTGTTACATTGTGCAGACCTCATTAGTTTTACACTCAAATCTGTTCATATTAATTTTCTGATTTGCATAATTAGTTTTCAGCTAAGTAATTTCGAATTATATTTAATGTGTCTCCAATACTCTCAGCACATGGGAGTTCTTTCTAAGCTTTCTTTGATTTTTAACTTGTTCTTGAAAACCTCTAACCTGATTGCTTTATAACTTTATTTGTAGCAAATATTTTCGTCATTTTTCATCAAAAAAAATATTTTTGACTTCCTTCAGAACCAGTCGTCAAAATTCTTTGATACTAGTACACATGCAGCTTCGGTAGACCTCGATTAGATTTGTCCATTTCATAAAGATATCTTCAAATCTACTTTTAGTGAAATATTCTCTGCAACAAAATCAAGAAAGTTGGTGTCTTACGATATTAAAGCAAATAGCATTAAGTTTAAATTACTTCTTAGTAATTGCTTTCAGAGTATGCATCACAAACAGCAGAGCTATATCAGCCGACAGGCTGCTAGTTTTAAATATTTCTATTAATTTATTAAACTCATCTAAAATGTGCATCTTGAGACATTGATCTCTGACCCGGGCATGTCATTTGTGTGTCAAAGGGGCCTATAATCGGGGAAGTACGTTATAACTGTGTGATGTTTGTATTTTATCAAGGTGCGCGATGTTACTGGTAAAAGTGTTGATGAAGCAGTTGTGGCGCTACATGATCATGATGATGATCCTGCTAAAGCCATTACTTATCTTCTTGAAAATGAAGATTTAAATGAGGTAAGATCTTTATATTCACTAAATAATTGACAACTGCATGAAAAATTCAAGAGTAACGTCAGTTGATCAGATCAACTGCATGAAAAATTCGGGAGTAACGTCAGTTGATCAGATCAACTGCATGAAAAATTCGAGAGTAACGCCAGTTGATCAGATCAACTGCATGAAAAATTTGAGAGTAACGCCAGTTGATCAGATCAACTGTTTGATATTCAGATTTGTTCATTTCATGTTGTCATTCATTTTCTAGTTTTGGTGAATATTTAAAATTTTTGACTTTTTTTTCTGAAACTGCTATTGATAGCTTTGATATGTACTCAATTTTCTCAGTGTGTAAAGGGCTGGGACCTCTTAGAATATTAGACCCCACTATACATGGTGGGACTATTTTGGTGGTAAAAGTTATATGGCCATTTTCTTTTACAACCATTCCAAAATGTCTTGTAAGTGAACTGTATTTTGTTTTGCGAGTGTTAGTTCGGTCGCTTGTTCAAACTTGGTATAGACATGACGCGTAATGGAATACTGATTAAATTTTTTGTGATTCGATACAATATTAGACTGGCAGCTGTGTTAGTGTTATTTTCACGTATCTTCAACCATTTCTTGGATATGTACCCTGACTGATATTGTTCAAAATTGGTACAAAGACAATATGTATACCTGTATGTACGTTGATATATTTTGACAGTCAATAATTTTCTTGGGTTTTTACTTGGTATGAATATTACACATCTGCTTGTGGTGATTATGTTGGTTATTTTGTCTTGTGTCTTTAACCATTTATCTGATGTGCTTTGACAGATTTGATTTCATGTATAGTTGTCTTTACTCAAAGTGGCTTGCACATTCAGATATCCATTTATGTGATTTGATTCGAAATAACCATCCGGTGACCACTTTTTAGCTCCACTGTCGACTTTGTCGAGCGGAGCTTATCATACGAGTGATTGTCCGTCGTCGTCCGTGTCAATGTTTTACTTTTTCGACTTCTTCTTGAAAACTACAAGCCTGAATGCTTTGATACTTGGTGTATATGTGCCTTGGGTAGACCTCTCTTAGATTTGTTCATTTCATGTTGATATCTTCAATTCTCTAATTTTGGTGAATATTTTTGTCATTTTTGGTAAAAAGTGATATTTTCGACTTCTTGTTAAAAACTGTAAGTCCGATTGCTTTGATACTATACATATTGTTCATTTTCTAATGATGTCTTCAGTTCTTTAATTGAAATGTGCATTGCTAACAGCGGAGCTATCTCAGCCGAGATAGGCTGCTTGTTTTGTGTGTGTTCTACCTGTTCTCAGACTTGCTTTAAACTTTGTGTTTCATTTTGTGACATATATTTCATTTCAGGGTGAATGGGAAACCACAAGTAGGAAGAAAAAGGGAAGAAATCAGCCACAAACGTCGCGCAACATAGAAACTATATCAACCCCTATCAAAGAAAAAGACAACAGAGATAAAGATAAGGATAGAGATAAGGGTAACCGTGAGAAGGAAAACAGGGACAGAGAGAGAGATGGTTTCCGAGAAGGTGGTTCTAATCGTGGACGTGGACGAGGGCGTGATGGGCCCCCACCCCGCATGCGTGGTAAACTTTTTTAAATGTTCTTGACAACTGATAGTGCAGCATATCGGTTATTGTGCCCATATTAGTAGGCTAGAAGACCAAATCCTTCTTAGGAATAAAAAATATCAGCCCAAACCGTTAGCAAGTGTGACACAGATACTAGTTTTTGGGGGTGTGGGGTCTTAGAGGTCTGCAAGTGGTTGTGTTTAAAGGGGAAGATGTCCCAGATGAAAAA